CACACTGTCTGCCCGTACCGTCTGATGTAATTTGTCGTAATCGGTTGTTGACAAGATTCGCATCTCAGCACAGACCCAGGACAAGAGTTAAGGCGCACTAGGGTAGAGGGTGCATATTCCGACACCCCTCGTGAGGTGCACTCCAAAAACAACGAACGGTGCGGAAATACAACTTATGAGCGCGGGTTTATTTTTAACTGGCAGCCGAACTATCTTTTTTTAACGATGTGTGTCATTTCTAAATATAGCTGTAATATTTTCCCCATAAACCCACAGGAAGTGACATCGCTCTTTCGCGCGTCCAATTTTGAACGTTTTCAAGCTCCGTGTTTCTAAAGCAGCAATATCACAAGGTGAGTAAACAAGTTCTATTTCTTGTCTAAAAGGCTGTATGTGATAAATGAATGTACTAAATGAATATTAGGTGATTGAAATTGCTGTATTCCTTTAAACTGGTTAAATATGTGCTCAAAAGGTGTTGAATTTCCCCACATCAAAAAGTGCCACTCCGAATTACGACACCACCATTTTGCTATTTCGACACCCCTGGTGGTAATGTCGACACCCTCTGTGGGTTATTCTGACACTTACGTAGGCTAGGCCTACCCTAGCGTAGCCTATTAGGCCTAGACCTAGCCTAGTATCGGCAGTATGCCTAGGTTCAGCCTAGTTGTAATACTTAGTATTAGCAACAGCAGCAATGGTAGTGGTAGCAGCAGCAGCACCACCAACTGCTGTAGTAGTATTGGGGGTAGTAAGCAGTGGCAGCAGCACTATTTTGGTTGTAATTATGCTCTACCTAACCCAGCCTACCTTAAAATATCATTCCCAGATAGCACGAAAATCTAAACACACATATATGTATATAATATACAAACAAAAGTATGAAGATGAAGATCTGAAGAAGGCTCTGGACGCCATAAAAAATGGCATATAATATTAAAAAGAAAGCTAGCAAAACCTTCAACATCCCAAGGACAACCTTGATTGACCATGCCCCAGGAAGGAAGGAGCTGGGGAAGAAGGCAGGGAAACCCTCAGCTATCCCTAAAGCCATAGAGGAAGAAATTGTTAAAAAGACGTTGAGTGCAGCAGAGAGAGGATTTCCCTGCACAAAGATGATGCTCTAGAGCAAGGTGGGGCATCTTGTCAGATCAACAGGTCTTTGCACACTGTTCAAGAACGGCGTCCCTGGAGATGAATACTGGAGGGGATTGAAAGGACGGTATCCAGAGCTCTCCATCAGGACCCCAGAGGGAAGTGAGTCGGGACGGATCACGATGCTCAATCCGTTAACCGTGTCCAGGTACTTTGACGACCTGGAAAAGCTGTTAAAAACCACTGGCCTAGAGAAGAAGCCAGCGGCTATATATATATGGATCTATATCTAGACGTAGTAGCCATCGTTTCTACATGATAATATTGTAGTACTGCCTGAATTGTGGAAGCTTTCTCAGTTTTTTTAATTTAAACTGGATTGGACTCCTTTTTTTATGACGTTGTCTTATTCCGATCAACATTGGGTAGACCCAGATCTAGAAAAATCTAGATATCTAGATCTATCTAGATTAGATCTAACAATTGTTTCTGACATTGTTTGCACAAAAGTAGACGTCTTGTTCATCTATCATAATCATAATCATCTGAGTTAGAGTTTGCACAAGTCGAAAGATGCTTGGATAACAATAACAAGACGGTGCAACTTGAACTTCAAGTTAGGCCTAGAGAACGTGTACAAGCTGTCTACTGTCTACGTTCTCTAAGTCTAATGTTCAGTGCTTCCAAGCGTGGCATTGAATCCCGGTCCTTCTCCAAGGAAAGCCACTACTGAACTTTAACCAGGCCTAAATTGGTAAAAGGAAAGGCCGTCATCGAGTCCGAATAAAAAAATTTCATATTCGGACTTCGAATAAGAAAAAGTGTTATTCAGACACGGGTCCGGAAAAAAGGAAGTGTCTTCGTTCTATAGATCTAACGTTCAGTGCTTCCAATTTTCCGCCATTTTTTAGTTTCCCCCACACCTTGTCTGTCGATCCAATGCCCGCCGCCTCATTGATGATATGCCCCCCCCCCCTTGTTTCCCACTTTCTTTGTTGTAGAAAAAGGTAAAATTGAAGATTAGCAGATCTCCTGGCACCTGCATATTATGAGCTGTGTAAAAAAAAAAGACCGATTCGTTCAAATACACACAAGCCTGTGTCATCTCGATTGTTTACCAAGAAAAAATTGTGTTGCTGTGTAGAGCCGAGCATATATATTTATTACGGCAACTTTTGATTCCATAGACCAGCGCACAATTCATTACGTAGATCTACGTCAAGACTAGCTTATTATCGGGGGGGGGGGGGGGGGGGGGACTGACGCCTATGCGACGTTCTACGCCCGGACCGATAGCGCCCCCCCCCCCTCCTCGACCCGCACACACAGCCACACGTGTGCAGGCTGCCCATCCGACCCCGACACACGCTAACGAGCAATCTTTAATTGCTTCTGATGACCTCTTGCCAAATAAACATTTATTAGAAGCACTCTAACTTTTCAGGCCGGCCTTAAATTCATCATAAGATAAAAACTCGGCTCCGGCACAATTTAACGCCAATTTGGCCCGAAGTGATCCCGGTCTCTACCACAAGCCTGAGGTGAGTCACGAGTGAGGCAGGACAGGAAGCCTGAGTCACGAGTCACAGGAAGTCGGAAGTGATGTCATGCTGGACAAGAATCAGAGTCCGAATATCATTTTTTCATATTCGGACTCGAGTCCGAATTGTCACTTCGAAAAGGAAAAGTATAGACTAAGGCCTACTTTGTTACAGAGCTCCTCTTGGGGACAAAACCAGAGGAAAGTGGCTATTCTCACCCGCCCGGAAGTTCTCGCAAGATCAACTCCTCCCCTCTTCTCTCTCTCTCTCTGAATACTGTCTATCGGTGTGGACGATCAAATTGACCAAAACAAAGTTAAAAAATGATGTTAAAACACAAAAGTAAATTAATTTGGTTGTCTACAAAGATGCTACGGCTATTTAACTTTTCAAGTCGAGCCGAACTACGCGAGTCGCCATTTTGTTTTGCCCGGAAATTCTCGCGCTACTCCTCTTTCTCTCTCCACTGCCCACAGACAAAATTGTACGTTTTAGTAGGCTACAGTTGTAATGGAACGTTTGTTCACGGCACAGAATTCTACAATTTTTCTGTTATCACAGTGTAGAATTCTGTGGTTTAGGGTGAACGCAAAATTTGTTGGCCTAGATCTAGATCTAGATCTAGGCTATAACGGTGAACGCGCACCGGGTGAGAATAGCCAAAAGACTCGCCTGCACTATTCTCATCCCGGGTGAGAATAGAGGTGGCCTTAAATTATTGTTGCCAGGGGGCTAGCCCCCCTGAACCCCCCCCCCCCCATTGATATAATGTAAACACGACTGTCCGCTCATGTTATTGTTTCGCATTTTTGTGTGTTTTCTTTATTATAGTTTCCAGGGGGGGCAAGCCCCCCTGAACCCCCCCCCCACCCCACTGTTGGTATGATACACGGTGGTCCACCAAAGTTAAATCCCCTGCCCACTCTCAACCACCACCACCTCTCGCTCACCTCGCCTTGCCAGTCGCCGCTGACTTCGCTGTGCGTGCGCGAAGTCGCCTGCGGAACTACCTTTTGTCCGCACGCAGAGTACTATGAGTGCGTAGTTAGGCTAGGCGTGCGTAGTAATCACGGGCCGAGACGGGTGGTCCGGTAAAGTACAATCTAGCCAAGAATCCCATGCACGCACTGAGAAGACAACACCCTAGGTTGGAAAAACTGTTGGGCACACAACATTTAAGAAATCTGGCGACTATATATGAGCAAGACCATTTTATAGGTCAATAATAGTTTCTTCAATGGAATAGCTAAAAACGAAAGTACAAAGCCGGAAATGGCGGAAAATAGGTTCAACGATCGCAAAGTGCACGCGAACCGGCGACACCACTCTAATTATGGGAACAATTTGTTGGTCAGTCGAGAAGAGAACAACAACAAAAAAACAAACAAAAGAAAAAAAAAAAAAAGTCCAGGTGTGGGATCGAACCCACACAAAAAAATGGTTTGACTTTAAGCGAAGACGCGCTGTCACTTCGACCATCAGAACTTCCGATAACGATTTGCAGATTAAGCTTGATATTTTACACACGGCGACATTGCATTTTATTTAGCACTGGCGCTAAATCGCAACGCGGAGTTGCAAATAGGCACCTTCCTTGATTTTATCTGACTACACTACACAGACCAATGAACACAGCAGCAGTCTCAGACCTCCCGGAAACGGTGTCAAATATATATACCCTCTACCCTAGCCATAACAGTAGGGGGTTTCAGGCCCCCCCCCCCTTGATGTTGGGGGTTTGAGGAGGGGCCCCCCTGTCAGTAGGCCCTACAGGATTAATCTAGATCTAGAAGTCTAGATCTAGATCTAGAATCTAGTAGTGGGGGGTTCAGGGAAAAAAACCACACAATCTTCACGTTTAGGCTACTAACATAGATCTACATTCTAGATTTTCTAGATCAAGAATCTAGATCTAGATTCTAGGCCTACCAGATGCAAATTATCAGTTTCAAAAGGGCTGTCAAGGGAATGGGAAGGCAATTTCCAAAGAGCGCCTTAGACTCTTAGAAATCTAGATTTTAGATTCTAGATTCTAGATCTAGAAATCTAGATCTAGATCTACATCTAGATATTCTAGATCTAGATCTAGCAGACAGACTGTGTGTCTACTCTAGATCTAGATTATTTAGTCTAGATTCTAGGATTCTAGGCAGACCACAAGAACGAAGGAGCAGACTAATCTAGAATCTAGACTGGCTAGAAGTAGAAGAGGAGGGCCAAAGCCAAAAAAGAAGCAGCTTGGCCCTGCCTCAAGATCTAGATCTAGCAGGATCTTTTAGGCAGAAGAGAATGCCAGGCTGATATGTAAACTTTCAAACCGATCACATCATCGCTCTAAAATATATCTCCAAAGAATCTTACCATTAACTGGTGGCCTGCCATACCGAAGGATTTCAGCAGAAACTATTCCGCTAGCCACCATCAAAACAATGCAAGCAAGGACTCGTTTTTCTATTCGGAGAGCATTTGCCTGAACATGAAACTGCGGGATTGTTCGAAAGGCACCGGGGACAAGTTGATTGGAGCATTCGTGAAAATAACAAGTGCTGATTGGACAGACTGTGCATGTCGTTGCTAATGAAGCATTTTTCTCTCCGTTCCATGCAAGTACCAATAATATTCAAAGCCCATAAAAATTTTTTATACTGATCAGAATCCAGTGAACGATTTACTGTAAAAGCGAAAAAGCTAAAATAATGACATTCAGATTTTGTCATAGAAACAAATTGATTGAAACCGGAAGTTAAAGGGGGTCTACACCCACATCCGGTTTCACTTTTATTATTGGACAAATCCTTTCTCCGCTGTACACTAGTTAGTACCCTGAATAACGTTGAAATCGAAAGTAGACCACAGCTTGGAAGGGGTAAGCGTGTTCTGTGAATTAATACGTTTAGATCTAGATCTAGTAATCTTCGCGATATCTTATCGTCTAGATCTAGTTTAAAACACCTTGATAATCACGGACATGATATTGATAATAAACTGTAATTATATTATAAATTATAGAGATCTATGACATGACAATCACAATGATGGTGAATGACGGATTGATTTATATACTTTATTGTTTATGATTTGGTAGCGTCGATTGTCACCGAGTGAAGCGGTGGCAATTAACAAAAATTGCGGTGTCGAGTCTGAAAACAACACTATCTTTAGCTTTCTATTCATAATGTGTGTCTAATGGGTCAATTTGGTCTCTCTGCTAGATTCTAATTTCATTGGACGAGCATAGAAGAATCTAGTCTAGATTCGAGCTACGGTACCAAGTTTGCGTGTTTTCAATGAGATGTAGGCCTAGAATCTAGGCTAGCCTTAGCCTACACTTCGGTGTAGAACCCACACAGGCAATTCTAGAAGTAGAAGTAGAAGGTCACAAACGCACAGTAACTCGAGCAGAAATTCATTTTATATCAGGGAACATAAATCCGGGAGGACAGGGGTCTGGAAAAGACACACACACACACACACACACACAGAGGGACAGAGAGGCGAACGCACAACACCGAGCACTCGAGCACAATAGGCTAGAAGTACTCACCAACGCAAAAGAGCTCCAATTTACTTGGTGTCAATTGACACAAATTCATCAACAGATGTATGAGGAGTATGCTAAGGATTAAGTGGCAGGATAGAATGAGAAATGAAGAGCTATGGGAAAGGACTGGTCAAAAGGATATAGAAGTAGAAATAATAGGACTAAGAAAGTGGCGTTGGATGAGACACACCTTCAGAAAGCCCAGCGGAAACATCACAAGACGTACAGTCACTGCAATGGAACCCACAGGGAGAATGAGGCTGGGGTAGGCCACGGGAAACATGGAGATGTGTGGAAAGGGACAGAGAGATGAAGCTCACTTGGAACGAGCTAGGAAGGATGGCCCAGGACAGAGAGAAATGGAAGGGGTTTGTATGTGGCCTATATGCCAGGGGTGAAAGGCATTGATGATGATGAATTGACACTGCTGTCTAGTTTTGTCAGTTGCCACCACGTCACTCGGTGGCGATTGACACTACCTTATGATTTTATATAGATCTAGATCTAGATTCTAGATCTAGATAATATACCAGTCTAGATATCTAGGCCTAATCTAGTCTAATGGCTTGGTGGTAAATGGGCCCTGCTAGCAGAATATTCGAATCAAAATGAAAGATGGGCCAGAATGATATTTGTAATTATAATAGTCCCGTTAGTTTGCTTTGTAAATTTTTACTTTCACTCCCGCACACACAAATGCTTGGAAACTGAAATTGAAACATTTTTTCCCCGGGGAGGGCCCTGAATACCACCACACACTGCACAGTTGCTCAGTGTATTAAAGTTGAACCTGTCTAAATTTTCATGAAAACCTCTCCAAAAATGGAAAGCTCATCCCTTGATAAATTCTTCTATAATTTTTATAATTACCTCTATAAAACGGGAACCTGCCTGATGTAGAAATGGAAAGAGAAACTCCTTCCCTTAGGATGGTTTAAAAAAAATTTTTTTAGGGTGGAAAATGGTTTGCCCACTCTCGAAACAAAACCTAGTTTGGTTCCTCCTGTATGCCTTGCTGCCAGGTGAGAAAGGGTAGTAGGGATGGGACTTGGGGGTAGATTTCCTTCCATGTGAGCCATGAGCAGTGCAAATGGTCAGGGTGCAGTGTGATGTGGGTTTGAAATTTCACCAGTGCTCCTGTGGAGCTCCAACACATGCACAGGAAGGAAGGGGCATTGGGTTGACTGCTTACACTGATGGATGGGGCTAACGGCCAAAGTAAAGGAGACTTTCAGAAATTTCTGTTTTCAATAGGGCAAACAGTGGTCCTGTTTTTTTTTGTTTTTGTAAAGTGTTTTACGGCGCTCGCAACTGCATAAGGTCATATGAGTGTGCGGGACACACCTAATATTTTCAGTTGGTAGGAAATTTTGAATTTTGCCCGGGTGGCGGCCGAAGCCTACTCTTATCGATTTTAGACCACCAAGGGATCTTTAAAGTGCGCAACTTGCACACGGGCCCTCCGAGATTTTTCACCCTTGTCCGAGAAGGTTAGGTGTAGATCTTTCCTACCAGAAGATCAGGGGTGTGGCTGAAAGACAGCAGTAAGAAGAAGCGAAGGAGTAGCAGTAGAAAGGCTGCAGAAAGAATCAGGAGCCCAGAGGAAGGGGCAAAGGAGGTGAGGGGGTGGGGGCAGAAAGAGGAGACGAAAGCAGACGACAGAACATTGCTAGAGAGCAGGAAAGGAGGTGAAAGGAGACAATTTTAGAGAAGAAAATTTTTCGGTCACTACCCGGATTCGAACCCGGGACCTTTGAATGAGAGGCCAACACCTTAACCTCTAGGCCACGAGAGCCCCCTGGTCCTTTGAGATGCAAGCACTGGTAACAATATGACTAACGCATGCCATTATCAGAGGGAATGTGAGAGGTGTGAGGTCTTGACTACTGCTTGCCAATCGGGAAAGTGACCTTTCATCCCACCCGCTTGGCCTCTGGAACCTTCATAAGACTGAATATGTCTTAGATGGAATTCTTTTCCGGCTCCTTTGGGATTTTGTCTTGGACAGGTTCAATTGCAGTTCGAATAAAACTTATGTTTCAAAAACTGATCATTTGCAACGAAAAAAAATATTTTAAAAAAATGAATTGATTATTTTTAAAAAATTAAGAAAATATATAAATTTAAAACAAATTATGTATATATATATATATTATGTAAAATGGATAAAAATGAGAGCAAGCCGAGCTTGAGGCGAGCGTGATAGTAAAATACTGTTTGCTTCACTGATAATCCCATCGCTTGTAATTAAAGTTTTCCAGTTTGTGAGCTTAAATGTAGGCCCTAGCCCTTCAACTGAATACAGTCAAAATTGTTTAAAATGACCACCCATTTTCGAGGAGAAAAATGGCTTTCTCAGTCTTAGACAAGTGGCTGCCTTAGGCAAGACTGATCAAAATGAAGAAAACAAACCACTCCCTTCTGAGGTCCTAACTGGAGACGGTCGCAGGCTGAGTACTGAGTAATTGAGTACTGCCGAAAGGCCCCGTAAAAATTGTTGCAAGCAGGAAAACCAAGTTAGATTTCGAGTGGGGATGAATTTTTTAGAGTATCCTTGTCTTTCCTCTGGAATGTGGTATCTCTCTCAGCCCAGGTTGGCTCTGAGAGGCATGGTTGGAAGCCCAGACAGCCACTGTATTTTTATAAGACAACCATCTGTAATATGACAACCATCTGTATATATGACAACCACATGTATAGATGGCTATTTCTATTTCCCTCCTCGTCTTTTTTCTATATAATGGCACTGCCTAAAAAGTAACCTGTCCAACACGACCGCGGCCACTATATTTCATCAACCAACAGCAAGTTCATAAACCAACAGCCAAAAAAAACCTGTCCAAGATGGCCACACAGACCTGTCATGGCCACAAGGTGTTGCCATATAAATTATCAGCCCCTTACTGTGAACGAGTCATTATCCGTTTATCTGTCATTGTTGTCCTATACTATAAATGAAATAATTGCTGACCAGCATATTGCGGAGGCAAGGTTTCTGGCCTCTCCAACAGTTTACCCAAAATGACCAGTCAGGTACATCTTAATGGGGCAGTACTAAGCCTGTGACCGCCTCTGGTTGGTAACTCCTCTGGGAATGGTTTGCTTTCTTCATTCTGATCAATAATGCAGCTGCTTAAGCTTGAAAAAGACAATGATGATGATTCTGATCAGTCCTGCCTAAGATGACCACCTTTCTCCCTGACAATGGGGGGCCATCTCAGACAATTTTGCCTCTTTGTATCATTGGCAATATGTTTCCAGGAATTAATCATTAAAAATATAGTACTGAACAGGGTTGGAGGGGAAAATTTGTGTCTTCTAATGATGGTGATAAATCTGAGCTCATACTGTCATGAAGGCCAAAAGATCAGCTTTTAAGTTAAAATGAGGTTGGGGTGAATATAAAACAAACATTTGAGTAAGTTTTCATACCTCCTGGAATGCTGTGACAAGTTCGGCTTGGACACCTGGATTGTAGAAAGAAATCTTGTGAACTTTTGGTCAAAATAACAATTTGTCTATTTCAGAATGTTTGAAAGTGGAGCACACAGGCCACTTTGTTAAATAATTTTGTTAGATGATGGAGAACCTTATGCAATAGAAAGTATAAGGAAAAAGGAAGAACAGAAGGATAAAGGCTTTGATAATACATGTACATGTAACGGAATATCACCTGCCGATGGACACTCATCAATTATTTTAGTAACTCTATATATACAGGTTGCTTCTTCCACCCACGAATCAAGTGTGAACTTGATCTGTTTTACTCTCTATCCAATTATTTTTAATGAAAGAGGCATGGGGATGGGGTAGGATGAAAGTAAACATGTGACAAGACAGATTAGGTATCATGCTCATCAAAGTGTTGATATTGCGCATAGTGCTATTTTGCCTTGCAAGCTCACACTTGCCTGAATGTTGTGAATGTATATTATATCCATTTAACCCTATCCATACGCCCTGGGGTAATTTTGTACCCCCGGGGTTATATTTTTCACATTTTAGAATACTTCTAGTGTGAAGATCTCTTTGAAACTTTCAGTATTTCTCAAAAAATCATTTTGACAGACTGCTTTGCAAAGCGTACGGATTGGATTAACGAGTAAATTTCCTCTCTGGAAAGTGGTGGCACAGAGTTCCCCACGTCGTATGGACATGATAGTAAAACATGATGTATGAATAGAGTAAACAAACTGATTATTATTTAATTGTATATCCATTCATCAACACTCTATTATATTTTTATATAGATGCATATTAAACTTTCAGACTATTTAAATGCTCATTGTGAAGCTGGAAATGGTACAGTACCTGACAAATAACATACATTAAATTTTTGCTGTTTGAAAATAGATTTTCTGACGTGCATTCTGGTTGCTTTTGATTTAGGTATACTAGCTGTAACTGGTACAGGAAAGCCATCCTTAACATAGTAATAATAATGGTAATAATAATAATAATAATAATGACTGATAACGATAATAATGATAATCATATTAGCAACAATAATAGCGATGATGATAATAATAATAATAGTCAATAGTCATAATCATAATCATAATCAAAACAATAATAGCAATGATGATGATAATAATAATAGTCATAATCATATCATAATCCATATAACAATAATGATATTGTTAATAATAATAAATAGCTTTTGTATAGCACATAATATTATATCTCCACTTGACAGCAAGGTCCATGCACATTACACTAGAAAATAATGTAAAATATTTGTGTAACGTATACAATGTTAGGCAACTGACAAGAAGATTCCAACCCAGGATCTTTCAGTTGCGAGTTGGTGAGCCTAAAATTTGTGAAATTTCACATTTTGATAATTGTGAAAAACTTGTAATTGTCTCTTACTCTTGGCCTCTATCTTTCAGAAATGGATGACTTAAAAAAGAGACTCGCTTTTTCAAGTAGGACTATTCAGTTTCAGGTAAGTGTTGATCTTCCCAAATTTGCACATCCCATTGTGTTCACTGTAGGCCTATTCATTACTGTCATTCACTGTCGTGATTAATTGTCTTGAGGTTTCATTTAAGCCCATTGTTTCCTAGATTCATTTGATCTAATAGTGCCAATAGTTGACAGTAAGGCTGGTGATGTGGGCTCTCTCATGTTGTCAGCTACTTCTACTTTTTTTGTGGCACCAGTTGCAATGTCTGTTCCTGTTTTAGTTTTAGTAAGGATTATGAGGCACTTGCAACACAATTAGGACATAGATCTATGTGTTGAAGATTATAGGTGTTACTTGAGAGTAATGTACAAAAAGAAAATAGGAGAGATAAGGATGACAAATGTTGGAGAGGAGAGAAGAGCCAACAAAAATCAGAGCACCCTCCAACCACCCGCCATCTATTTCTGGGGGGGAAAAAAGTGACCATTATTGTACATTGTACTGATTATCCGTTGACTACATTTCAACAATTTTGATAGTGGTTCGAAATTTGAACTATAACTGTAATAATATTGTGTACAATGTAGATTCTATATTATGGTATACTACAGTTCCCCTTTTCGATTTAAGGTAGATAAGCGTTACAATATTCTTATTCTATCAGTTGCTCCCCTTTGGTGCATTTTCCCCCTCCGCTTGAGACTGGTGCTTGTCAAAATACAGCCCTATTCGTTCTGTTTCGCTTGTCTTTTTTGTTGTTGTTGTTGTAAGCCTTTTACTGCACTTGCAACACAATTATGTCATATAGGTGCCAAAGATTAGAGGCGTTACAAGAGAGTAATAGACACATAAAAGAAGGGTGAAAGATTTAAAGGACAATACCTAGATGTTTGATAGGAAAGAAGGAGCAAACCACACCAAAGCACCGGCTAACCACCCATTTTGCTGGTCTGGAATGCGAGAATCGATAAATAGGTGCTAGATCTACGTACTTTTCGGCTGAAACCTTGCGATTTTAGAAAATAAGGAAATTTAGTGCATCCTCCTCTTTCGCTAAGTTATTAAACCTCCACCTCCTGAAAAGTTACTAACGTAGCAAAAAATAAAGCCTTATATTGAAGTCTTTTTCTTTCTTTCTTTTTTTTAAATTGTGAAATTATGTCTCTGCAGAGACCGTTATTAAAACGAACAAGTCTTGTTCGATATAACCTTATGAGAATGTGGAAGGCAAGGAAATAGACGTTGGACGATGTTTTCCCATTATAGTTGCAGTCAAATTGTTTTTTCGTATGAGTCCGTTACCTTCTGTTGAATCGGGACTTTTCATCAGTCACCAGCAATGCCTTTCTCACCCTGGATCAGTGTCTAATAGGCCCCCCTGGATCAGTGTGCAAGGTTTTTCAAAGACTTCCATCTCCGGATTTCATTTCTATACCTCGACGACGCCGCC